AATCAGCATATCATGCTTTTATTATTATATACTAGGGGCCCAGGGCACAAACTTGTGCACCTTGAAAGGAATTGTGGGCCACGAGGTTGCAGTGGGCACAGGGGTGGGTCTTAGCCCATTGTCCGTCCCCCTACCCAACCACTCCAGCCATGGCCTGTCAGTCCCCTGTCTGATGGCAGCCTCACTCCTGTGCTGTCGCTCTCATGTGCTGATGGCCCCGGCCCCTCTCGCACCCACTGACAGCGCAGAGCAATTGGGTCTGGCGCCAGTAGCGGGTGCAAGCAGGGCTGGCGCTGACAGCGGGTGCGAGTGTAGGCTGCTGCCCCAGTCACCCCTCAGAAGCAGGGGGAGATAGAGAAGCCCTCAGGGGCAATCAGGGTCAGCAGCCACTGACTGGCACTGGATGATGGCAACTGGTACAAGTTGGGCCGGTGCCAGCAGCAAGCGTGAGTGCTGGGCAGGACTGCAGCATGTGGGTAGCAAAGAATTTTCAGAAATATTTTGGTTGATTTCATGAATGGGTTGCTTAGCAGGATACTAATTTTATTTTTTATTTTTAAAAAATATATTTTATTGATTTTTTACAGAGAGGAAGGGAGAGGGATAAAGAGTTAGAAACATCGATGAGAGAGAAACATCGATCAGCTGCCTCCTGCATACCCCCCACTGGGGATGTGCCCCCAACCAAGGTACATGCCCTTGACTGGAATCGAACCCGGGACCCTTTTGTCCGCAGGCCGACGCTCTATCCACTGAGCCAAACTGGTCAGGGCAGGATACTAATTTTAAACTCTTCCCCTGCTAAACAGAACACGATAGGAGCTAACTGAAATATCAATGGTTTGAAAAAAATCTTACTGGCAAAACAATTAGTAACAAAGGCAATAAAAATTGTGAGATGGTATTGACAGTCCAATTTTGAGGGATGGGTTTGCTGAGCTCCTGGGGCAGTGAGAACAGAGTGAACCATCTCTGAAACCGAAGCTTTTATTAGTTTTCAAAAGCAGAGTTAGGAAGGAGGGAAATGGCCACCCTCATTTGCAGGAAGGGAGGGGCTCATTTTGTGCTCATCAGTTTTCAAATACGACCACTAACACCAGAAGGGTTGAGACGGTGCTGTTGCATGTGTCTGTCCCGCGCCTTTCCCCAAATAGCTGAAAGCACTGCCCTTATACAGGGACACCTCTCACTGTGAAATCCAATCCTGGCAGATATAGTTCTAGAATCACGGTTGTGAACTTACTGCAAAAGCCTAGAGGTGAGGGAGTGGTCAGGGTGTCCGCAGACAGTGGGAGCTCAGCGTGTCTCAGTGAGCAAGGGACGAGTGAGGAGATAAGGAGCCATCTCGGAGTTAGGTTCCAGAAGGGTCACTGACCCCTGAGCCTAGACGACTGGGCCTGGGATGGGGCCAGTTTGAGGCCAACTCTAGAAAGTTCTCAGTAACAATTAAATGAAGGACTCTGCCCAGTCTCTGTAGCTCAGTGATTGAGTGTTGACCTATGAACCAGAAGATCAGGGTTTGATTCCCAGTCAGGGCACATGCCCAGGGTTGCTGGCTCGATCCCCAGTGTTGGGTGTGCAGGAGGCAGCTGATCAATGATTCTCTCTTACCATTGATGTTTCTATCTCTCTTTCCCCCTCTCCTGTCTGAAATCAATAAAAATACACATTAAAAATAATAATAAATGAAGGACTCATTTCAGGCCACGTAGCCCTTGCTTCCTAACCCTGTGTTCCCTCTGATTGATTACAGATTTGTTTAAAACTCACACCTTCTTGCAGAAGGTCAGCAATCTCCCATGTCTGGAGTCATCTTCAATGAGAACCAAAGTTTCCACATGTAAAATAATACCAGTAGTCTCTGGCATTCACTGAAATAATTTTTATTATATTCTTATATTACCGGAATCATTTCCATTTCTAGAAATAAACTCACTATAAAAAACTTAAGTTGATACTGGATAGCCTGACCTGGCCTAGTCCTAAATCCATTAATAGATTTAAAATGCTAGTTTCTCCATGACACATACACATAATACAAACCATTAAAATAGACAATGTCTGAGCCACACATACTGTCATTTCACGGAGTCCTGGTGGTTCACGTCCTGTATCTGGGAGACACGATTAGAGGAAGAAGAACCTGGAGAGGCGGCTGAGGCTGGGCCGGGCTCCGGTTCTACTGCAGTACAAGCAGTCAAGACAGACCCAGGCTTGGAGGCTCACCTAAAGCACTGTAGCCGAAGTCCGCGGGCAAACCGGCCTGCCTGGTACTCTTCTCCATCCATCACCGAAGGGACCGTCTCGGTGTCCTGCACAATGACTGCCACTTCACTGTCTCGCTTTCCCAGCATGCTTCGGTCATTGATGTTGGCAGAGCCTGTAGGAGAAACAGTGACGCTGAACAATCTTCTCTTCGAGGCAGACTCTGTCAGCTGTCCTCCCACTCGATTCTATCTTGCTAACAAAACCCTAATTGTGTTCAGGTCAGCAAGAGCTGCTGTGCTTTAGGGATGGGGGCCCTTCCCTAACCCAGGGGTGCATCTGGATCAGTCTAAGCCAGCAGTTATAATTTCATTCTTTTGGCCAGTGTTGGACTTAGATTGGGCCCTTGACATGATTCTAGGCCAGCGGTTCTCAACCTGTGGGTCGCGACCCCTTTGGGGGTTGAACGACCCTTTCACAGGGGTCGCCTAAGACAGTCAGAAAACACACACATATATATAATTACATATTATTTTTGTGATTAATCACTATGCTTTAATTATGTTCAATTTGTAACAATGAAATTGGGGGTCACCACAACATGAGGAACTGTATTAAAGGGTTGCAGCATTAGGAAGGTTGAGAACCACTGGTCTAGGCAGTGTGACATGAGGAAAAGTCTGCTAGGGGCTTCTGTGAAAGTTTTTTTGTTTTTTTCCTTTTCATAAACTGGGACAAGAACAGAATGCTGCTGCTTCCAGCCTTTGGCTATTCTGACGGAGCAGGTGGATGAGGATGTGATTCCTAGGCTGCTGCAGCCGTTTTGTAACCATGAGGAGACAGACAAGCTGGAGATGGCAGGGCAGAAAGAAGCAAGACCCTGGGTCTCTAAGTCACTGAATTAGCCAGCGCTAGAATGTTCTCACCTTCTGTTATGTAACAATACGTTTTCCTTATTGTTTCACACGCTTCTAGCTGGATTTTCTATTTTGTGGCTCAAAGGATTCTAACTGGTATAATCATTAAGCATATAAAGAATACAAGATATGCTTACCAGTTCAACTCAGTCAGTTTTGAGACTTAGACTCTGTAGACTTTAACTTATGATCATAGAATTATGAGTGTCAAAACCCAAGAGTACCTTCACAAGCAAGAGTCCACTCTCAATACAGATTACCGTCAGTGGCTCTGGGTTTTCCATTCTCTGGCCTCACTTGTGTGGCATGCCAACAGCTTCTGTATCAACTTTCTTCCAGCCTATTTTTAAATCCAAACGAGCTAAGAATGTTGACTCCCGTGTGAAGGGCAATTATTTTAATAGTTCAACCTGTGCTTGCTGCGTTCCTCAGCCTCGCATTCAGAAACCCCATCACATTTTCTGTGTTAATCACTGCAGATTCATTCTTTGAATCCTTGAGGTGTCCTAGAAACTACAGAAGGGCCTGACAGTTCTTTCTTCTTCTCGCTCCTCTTGCCCTAATCACATACTCCACTGCCTCGGGGGAGTGGGGCACTGGGGCACGGGCTAGCCCCTATGATGGGGACACTCAGGGTGTAAGGTGACAGCAGCCTGGCCCGAGCCCACCGGGAGGGATGTGGTACATGAGAAAAATCGGACCCATCTTGAGGAGACATCACTACCATTTGCACAAAGTTGTCATGTAGTTAATATGCAAATCTATGATAACTATGGATGCGAATGGAGCCCCACAGTGACCCTGGGTGACAGAGAAAGGATGGAGCACCTCACCAGACATTTAGGAGCACTACCGGAATGCTGTAAGGTGACTAGACAACCTTTGAAATAGTGTTTTGTTAGCAACCAAGAGTCCTTTATACATACACTTTTTGATTACACTAGAAAATGTACAGCTATATCTTTGGATTGGACAGTTGGCACAGCCTTAGTGTGGGCCAAGTCATTTAATCTTTCTCAGCTTTGCCTTTTATACATTGAGATCATAATGTCACTGTAAGAATTAAGTAAGGTCATGTGAAAGCACTTGTTAATCTATAAACGGCCCTACAAGTGTTAATTATTATTGGCATCATTATCAAATTCTTCTTAATGCTTTATAATGTCTGCACCAGAGAACATCGCCGTAGGAAAGGACAAGTAGCATTTTATCAGAGAAGCCTCCTCTCTGGGTTAATCACCCCTCACCCTGGTGTGTGAACTGCAGCGTGGAGAGGAACCAAGTTCCCACAGTGCACAGTGCTGCTTTGGGACTTCACTACCCCTGGCCTCCAGCAGAGGCCGCTCTCGGGCTGCATTGGGTGGCCATCACTGCTCTCCACTGTCAGGAAAACTGGGGATGGGAAGCCTCCTACACACACACACACACACACACACACACACACACACACACACGCACACACACACACACACGCGCGCACACACACACACGCGCGCTTTCATACCAGTCCCCCAGTCTCCCTCCCACCAAGGTGGGCCCTATTCCCAAAGAGAGAAACACATTCCTGGCATTCTGAGCTGGAATTCTTAGAGAGAGGAGTGGTTTTTCTATTTCCAGGGCTGATATGGAGTTACCCAGGCACTGACTCTCAACCACCCTGAGTAAGTGTTGGCTGCTATTTAATAGAAATGTGAAAAGGGGCTGAGAATATTTTAGATGAATGTAATGAGATACTGAAAAAAGAGATGTTTGTTGATGTAAATGCTACCTCTATTCTTGTTAAACGGTTCCACACTCTGAAAAGCAAATTCAGAACAGCAGATATAACATCATTCTACTTTATAACGTGGGAAAGGAGAGAGGGCGAGGCTCTAGAAAGTTACACGTTGAACTGTTAAGTAGGGGGAGTGAATTCTGGATAAGAAAAGGAGGACAAAAAGGGGAATTCTGACCTTTTGTTCCATACATGCCCTTAGAGTTTGCATTGTTTACAACAAATATGCGTTGTAGTCACGTAGTACTTTTTTGCAGTAACTACAATCTCTTATTTTCATTGGGATATTGGCTTGATATTTAAAACCACTTAATTTTTAGAAAATTGTATTTTCTAAGTCTCATAATATTAAGGAACTTTTTAAAACATGTGAAATACAACAAAATACAAAGGAGTATATGAAAAAATATATATCTTTGGAGTACTAAATCATCACTGAATTTAACACCCAGGCTGAAAAACAGAACCTTACCACATCCCGGAAGCCCTCAGGTGTCTCCCATGCATGCCCTTCCCTCTCCAAGAGGGAAACTTTCTAGAGAATTTGCTGCTCATGAGGTTCTGCATGCTTTTAGTTTATATAAAGGGAATCCTATGTAATCTTTTGAGATTTGCATCTTTTGTTCAATAGTATGTCTTTGGGATTTATCTGTGCATAATTTTAATCATGATTTTCCTTGAGTGAACACACCAGGACTGATTCATTCTATGTTGGTGGGCGGTTGGCTGTGTCTGAGTTTTGCTGTGAAGCCCAGTTATGCTCTAATACAGTGCGTGTATGTCTTCTGGTGCACACACATGAGTGTTTACCTGGGCTCTGTCCTCAGGACTGGAGACCTGGTGCTCCACAGCCTTGCCAATACTTGGATTGCATGGCTTTCTAATTTTGGCTAATTGGTATTTTTAAAAACTATTACATTAATGATGATGGACATCTTTTGTATATTTATGGGTGTCATATATGTCCTCTTTGGTGCTTTTCTACTACAGTTCCTTTGCCCATTTTACCTTGGATGTTGTCTTTTCTGACTGACTTATAGGAGTCTTTATTGGTTTGGATTATTAACTGTGCTGCAAATATCTATTTTCAGTTTGTGGTTTATCTTTTTATTCTCTTTATGGGATCTTTTAATGAATACAGCTTCTGAATTTTAATGTAGCTGGATTTATCCATCTTTTCCTTTGTGCCTTTTTCATATTTTGTTTCAGAAATTGTGAATCCTCCGGTGGTAGGCAGGATAATGGCCCTGAGGGATTTGTTTAATGTAAAAGCCTGTGGATTTGTTGTGTTTCATGGCAAAGGGGAATTAAGATTGCTAATCAACTGACCCTAAAATAGGGAGACTACCTTGCATTAGCTGGGTGAGTCTAATTTAATCACTGGGGTCCTTAAAGCAGAGGGGGTTCAGGGGGAGATTACAGCAGAATGGGTTGAAAGTTTTGGGAACTTTCAGAGAGATGGAACATAGCTGCCTTCAGAGATGGAGAAAGGGGGTCATGAATGTGGGCCGCCTCTGGAAGCTGGAAAAGAAAATGGCTTCCCTCGGAGCCTCCAGGAAGGAAGACGGCCCTGCCAACACCCTGATGGCAGCCCAGTGAGACCCATGTTGGGCTCCTAACCTACAGAACAATAAGTGTGTGCTGTTTGAAGCCACTAAGTATGTGGCCATGTGTTACCGCCACAAAAGACACGGAATTCACCAACGTGCCCTATTTTAGCTTATTAAAGGACAACTGATTCTTCCATTGAACCCACATCAGCTCTTCTGTCCTTCCACCCACTTGTGTTCCCTGTGTGTCCAGTTCAGAAGCTCTTAGCTTGGACTGTACATGAGCATCGCCTAGGCAGCGTTTAAAAATACTGGTGTCATCGAACTCGTTTGGCTCAGTGGATAGAGCGTCGGCCTGCGGACTCAAGGGTCCCAGGTTCGATTCCGGTCGGGGGCATGTACTGTGGTTGCGGGCACGTCCCTGGTGGGGGGTGTGCAGGAGGCAGCTGATCGATCTCTCTCATCAATGTTTCTGACTCTCTGTCCCTCTTCCTTCTTCTCTGTAAAAAATCAATAAAATATATTTTTTAAAAAATAAAAATAAATAAAAATAAAAATACTGGTGCCAAAAACAACAACACCTTGATGTCTGGGCTCCACACCAGACCAAATAATCACAATTTCTGCAAGTAGAAACCAGCCATTAGTATTTTGCAATACCATCCATCCCTTCATCTATCCTTTTTTTTTGGAGGGGCGGGGGGAAGAGGTTGGTGAATCTAGTTTAAGGTAACTTGCAGACTTGAATAAACTTCCCCCTAAATGATATGTTTTCTTAAAGCTCCCCAGGCAATTCTAATGCAGCCAGGGTTGAGACCCACCAGACTAGATCCAGTGTAATCTCCCTTTACTGGGGCAGCCCTTCAACTACAGCCACTCACCTACCCACCCTGACCTTCCTGCTCAGGTTCTGCACTACCCACGTGGATGCTCTGGTGTCAGGTGGAAAGAATACCCGCCACCCCTCCAGCCCAGGAGGGCTGCAGGGCAGCAGCAACATCCGATTCCTGCTGTACGTCTCCCTACTGTGCTCTGCAGTGAATCAGTGAACACTAAAATATCATTTCACCTCGTCAACTGATCCGATTCCTGCTGTATGTCTCCCTTCTGTGCTCTGCAGTGGATCAGTGAACACTAAAACATCACTTTGTCAGCCAGGTAGAGTTAAATTATATGTAAGGACAGCCTCGTGTTTAGGAAAGCAAATAAATGTTAACTCGGTTCAGTGACAATATTGAGATGGATTAGAAAACTGGATTTGGACACAGGCTTCATAACCAGCAGGTCACCCAGGCCAACAGATAATGAAAGCTATGAGTATACACACAAGAGACCTTCAATGGGAGGAAACAAGTATTTCCTCATGAGGAAAAAGCGAGGGTGAACAATTACTCGTTTTTCTTAGGTCAATTATCCAATAATTCTGGCATACGTTTCCCATGTTAGAAAATTTAATCATGGATCACTTTAACTTCTTTTAAGCTTTTAGATACTTGCTTAATCCTGTTCAATATTCTTCACATAACTTCTCAAACACCTCTCTGAGAATTCCCAATGTTGTTCTCTGTGTTATGAACTTAAACAGGCTGATGTGTGTGAGAGCAGCAACAACAATGTTGCTTGGTCTTAGAGTCTCCACTGAGATAAAAGAAACAGAAGCACCTTTGGAATTTTCCAGGGGAATCTGTGGTGCCCTTGAGGAAGGAGAGACAGAAACCCAGTCCCTGAAGACTAACGTAGGACCCCTTCACACTCCCCAGGCCACACCTTCTGTTTCTACAGGGTGGACAGCAATTATGGGCAACATTGATCTGTTACTGTTGGCCTGAATAAACTGTAGCCTTTTGGGGGTTCAGAGACCTTTCTAGAAAATAAGTCAATTAAAAAAACTCAGCCAACCTAGTGAACTGATGGCTCTGCTACTGCAAACTACTCTGCAGGGATCCTTTATGTAAAACAAAGCCGGTTGCCAGCCCACATGACCTTTACAGGTACAATATTTACAGCGGTCATTTTTTACTCCCAGAGTTCTGAAGTCTTTCTAAAGACATCCAGTGAACTTTATTTCACTTTGTTTGTTTTTCCATTTCAGCAAACATCAGCATTTCCCCTTCCTACTGCCATTGCCGAATTTAATATAAATATATTCTGAGATGGCTTCTGAAGAGCAAGGCCAGAGTAGGTGTGGGAAATAAGAGAAACCCTGTTATGGGGGAAACGGGGGAGGAAATAAATCCCTACAGTGCTCTGGTCCCTATAGAGCAAGGGATCAGTGACACAAAACATTTTTCTTAAATGTCCTTGTATACGTATAAAAAGTGTGTGTGTGTGTGTGTGTGTACCTGTGTGCACGCACATGTGAGACCACACTGTGGTCTATACATTTTCTAACTTCAGAAAAAATATTTTTTTCTTTCTTTTCAAATCATGTTCCAGGTAAGACAGTCTCATTAGTACTAGATAAGAGATTCCCCCCTGCTTTTTACAGTGGAGGATAAACATATTTATTGCCAAAACATTTCAAAACACTCCAAAACATTTAGTTTCTTAAAGAATAGGGAAGCATCTGACAACAGCTGAAAAACTCCATTTAAAACAGATGAGCAGAATCCTCAACAGTGGGACACACTGTATATCTAAGTAACATCTCCACCCTTGTCAACTCACTTACCTGGGTGATTATTAATACTGTTTCTCATCCTGCCCTTTCCGTGTATGTGTAACATCATATTTGAAAGCAAAACAATTCAAGGATGGGAAAACAAAGCTTTCCATGTGTATGCAACAACAAAGCTGAACACCCATCCCTCTGGGCAGGTTGATCTAATCTGGTAGAATACACAACCAGTAACTGTCTCTGAATCTGCTGGTGGGGAACAATGTTGGAAATTCTCAGAGAGGCTTTTGAGAAGTTATGTGAACAGAACTCTGTTGTGTATCCTTGACAAGAAAAGACTGCAGACCTTAGTCTGGGGTGCATCATATGATTACTTCCCAATTTCCCCTAACCACCTTACACCAGCAAAGCTGGTCCCCTCTGCACCCTGGTTAATGACACCCAAAACAGACTCTAGGGGAAAAACAGAATGCACAGAGGCAACAATATTTTCATATCCTTCCAATTCTGACTCTTGCACAACTTCAGAGCTGTGAAAACGGTTAGGTGGGTGTGGTGCAAACACATACAAATTACCATCAGGTACTCATTTCCTCCCCATTTCTCCCCCGTCCATTCCCAAAATGTAGGTACTTGGATTCAATAAAAATAAGGGGACAGTAAAGAATGAAAGAGAGCAGGCCAATTATTGCACTGCTGGGTCAAACTGCTGCCCTTGGATACTGTAATTTGCACAATGGCCATTTAATTGCTCTGTGCCTGTGTTTCTTCATGGATAAAAACAGGGATTAGAAAGGTTGTATGCAAAAAAGACTGCTCCAGAAATGTTTTAGATAGTATGTTACTGTCTCTCTCAACTGCAAAGGAAGCTTGGGAGGAATAGAAAGAGAGGTTTTTGCATGATATAAGTCAACTAGCAAGAAACACAATTAAGGACTTGTATGCACGCATATTAGCATAACCAATGGACACAGACACTGGGGCGGTGGGGGCTTGCCTGGGGTGGGAATGGCTGGGGTGGGGCAGTCAACTGGGGAAAAAGGAGACATATGTAAAACTTTAGACGATAAAAAAAATATTAAAAAAGAAACAATTAGAGACCATCTACTTACCAATAATAACAGTGTTGTCATCAGCAATTAGCAACTTGCTGTGGACATAGATGAGCTCAGTGACTAGGTTTCCTTCAAGCTCTGCATGTGTTCTAAGACCACAGAATGATATATAATTTATCCACTGATTGCCAACTGTAAGTTTAAAAAGAAATGACTACAATTACTATAGCCAAGCTCAATAAAGGCACACTACATTTTATCAAAGCAAATATACTACTTAAATAGACTGTTAAGAATAGATGGTGTAATGTGTGTGTGAATGTGTGCGTGTAATTTCAGAACTCGCTCAGGATCTATTTTTGCTATCTGGAGAATTTTACACTGTTGACTTGGTGCATATAGATTAAAAATCATACTGAAGTGCTTTCTGTATCTTCCCTTTGCTGAGGCAATCCAAAAATATATTTAAGCATGAACATTTTACTTTAATGATTTGGTGAGTAACTACTTAGTGTTGATCATTAAAACTGAGCCAGAGCGGATAACCCAAGACTCCGGTGTGACATTGGCATCTATCTTGGTGGACACCTGCTACTGTTTAAATCAGATGCACGCTGAGTGCCCAAACTACCTGATGTATGCATCGTTTGTAGCATATTCAGCACAAAGAAGCAGTTAAATTTTACAGACTTTGGGTAAATAAAAATGTTGGCAATTAAATAACACTCCTCCTTCTAAATTATTACAATTAGGACATGAAAGGAATCCTGGCTACATTGGGAGACTTTCCTTCAGAGCAAGCAGAGCCAGGTTTGTACTTTAATACATTGCCCTCTCATCATGTGAGGGCCATTCATGTGATACGAAATGCATTCCATACCAAGCTAACCCATAACCACTGTTCTGACCTGAGTGGCAGCCACAAGATTGTATGAACCCTCCCCCACAGAGCAGTTGTCTTAGATGAGCAAAGTCTGATACTATAATAAATAAAGTGGAACCAAGCCATCACAAATTCTAATAGAAAGAGAATGTAAATCTTTTTTTGTAAGCATCTAAAGCACTTTAATAGAACCAATGGAGTTCATATTCCATTTACTGAAGTTTCCACATATTACTAATGTTTTCTATTTTACTGCTGATGTTATTCAGTGTTTCTATTACATATGGGTATCTTGGAGAGAAGTTCTTTCACAGGTTGTATACAGAGATTCCTCCACTTGCAGATAACCTTTCCCCCACCTCTATGGGTGATCTTGCAGCTGTGTTTGCCAGGAGTTGATGTGCTGGTGTTCCAGTACATCGTGTGTGGGAGATGCATTTCCAAACAGTTTCATGTGAAGGAGATTTTTGCAAATAAATTTTTCTCCATTTGTTACGTTTCTATTTGGAAAGATGTTCTGTACAAGCACGGCCTCCTCCTTGAACCAGAGAGAGGAGCATTTCCTCTTTGAAGCCCTTCATGCCCATAAAATTCCTGGAAAATCTTCCTAATATAATGCCAAATATATTCTTTTATGAACATTTATCTAATCCTCCATTTTGCCTACTGTTGCAGAGGTATTACGCAGCTTTGTATCCCTAATCCTTGCATAGTACTAACGAAGTCGAATAAACGGGTGAGGAGATGAATGGGTAAACAGGTGGCAGCTAGTATTTCATCTTTTGGTTTCTCTGTATCATCTACTTTCCTGCAGTTGGCTCATGATCTAGAATCTAAAATTATAAGACATAAAGCAGCTTTTTAAAAGAGTCACGGAGCAAATCCTGTGCTAAAATAAACATTTTTGCAGTAAGTTCCCATAAAATATCCACATTGAGCAATAAAGTAGACCAATGCTTCTCAGTGTGTAGAAAGACCACCTGTGGGGGGTCCAGTAAAAGCAGAATCCTGGGACCCTCCTCAGAGGTTCTGATTCAATAGAAATCTATAATTCAAGTGTCCTAGGGGATCTCATTCCTTGTAGGACACTGCCATAGAGCCTTGGCCTTTATAGACTGAAGATTAGTGTACACACTCAGAAAACAATACAGTATGACCATGGGAGATGCATTCTAGGGGTGTGAGTCTGCTCAATATGAGGAAGCCCATTAGTATAATACACAATATTGATCAATCTAGGGAGAAGAATCTATGATTATCTCAAGAGATGCTGAAAAATTTTTGACACAATTCAGCACCCACTTTTTTCATTAATGAAAAACCATGAAAAAAATAGGAAATACCGAATACTTTATTAACATGCTTCAAAATATATAACATGGGTTATATATGTATAATATATATGTACATCTATGTATGTGTGTATATATTACCTTGGAGGTATTAGCCAATGCATTTAGACAAAAGAAATCACATAAGAAGTAAAACCACCTCCCATTTATAGATAATATAATTGTATTCTTGGAGAATCAATGATAAAACTCTCTCAAACAATAAAAGAATAAGCATGCTAGAATATAAATTAACATGTAGCTCCACACACACAAATAATAACCAGTCAGAGGATATAATCATAGATAAAATCTCACAACAAAGGAGATAGAACACTTAAAGATAAACTTAGCAATAAATATGTAAAAATTTTTATGAAGAAAAAATTTAAACACTATTGAAAGATAATAGTCTATTCTTGAACAAATGAAAAGACATCCCTTGTTCTGGGATAAATCAATGCAATATTTAAAAAGTGCTAACTCTCTTTAAATTAATTTATAAATTTAGTATAATTTCAGTAGAGATACCAACACATTTTTATGGAGCTAGAAAACCTGATAAGATAGTTTATATGGAAAAAATAAACATTCAAGGATGGTTATTAATAAAACTAGAAAAGAAAAGCTATGACAGAGCAGTAATCCTATTCGATATTAACACATCTACCAAGTCTATATAATTAACACAGTTCAGAACCGGCCCATAAATAGACAGCTGAACCTGAGAATGGAATAGAAAGTCCAGAAATAGATCCAAGTACATATGGAAATTTTGCATATGTACATAAAGGCTGCATCTCAAATGACTAGGAAATGATCTATATATATAAAAGCCTAAGCAACCCTTTGACTGCCTGACTGTCTGACCCTCTGACTGGTAGCTATGATGCGCACTGACCACCATGGGGCAGACACTCAACACAGGAGCAGAAACCATAGGCATGAAAACATGGAACAGACTGATGAGTCTCAGAGGGAAGGGGGTTAGGGGAAGGATGGGAAGAGATTAAATAAAGATCTTATATGCATACTAGAGGCCCCGTGCACGGATTTATGCACCAGTGGGGTCCCTCGGCCTAGCCTGTGGGGATTGGCCGAAACCTGCTCTCCAACAACCCCTGAGGGGTCCTGGATTGCAAGAGGGTGCAGGCCAGGCTGAGGGACCCTGCCAGGCACGAATAAAGGACTAGTTTTTACATAAAGAACTAGGAGTTTTAAATAAAGAGTGCTAGTATGATTGCATTTGTATTTGAAAAAGATAATAATTATATTTTTACCTCACACCAATCACAAAAATAAACTCCAAATTGATCAGAGATAGAAATGAAAGCATATGGAACTATCTGGATGTTTTTGCAAATAAAATTTTCCATACAAGAAGAAAACAGAGTGAATTCCTGTATAACCTGAGTATAGGGAAGGCCTGCAACTGTCCAGAGGCAATAAAATATAAGATTGATAACACTGACTCAATTTTAAAAAATACCAAAACACTACATTTTCATGATACAAAACACCACAAGCAAAAACAACAGACAAAATGACAAAGTGGGAGAAAGTGTATGTCACAGATGAAGAGTGGAGAGTCCTAACATGAAAATAACTTAATAACTGAAGGAGAAGGATCAAAACCTTGATAGAAAAATGGGAAAAAGACGTGAATAGACAATTCACACATGTGAAAATATACCTTGGAAAAGATATTCACCCTCCCTTATAATAATAGAAATGAAAATTGAAACTACACTGAGAAACCATTTCTTACCCATATGACTGGCAAGAAAAAGTGGGATAACACATTCTGTTGGTGAGACTGTTGCAGCAGGCTCTCTCATTCATTGGTGGTGAGAATGCAAATGGGCACAAACTGTTTGGAGGGAAATTTGGCAATATCTAACAAAATTACCTATTGACCCAGAAATGTCACTCTAGAAAGTTATCCTAAATTCCAACAAGGTTATTCATTGCATAATTGTAATACAAAACCACTGAAAACAATCGAACTGACCACACATAGGAAGGTGATTGCATTAACTGTGGAAGACCGTGCTAAGGTTAAAAGCATGAAGATGTCGATGAATATGGAGTGACTTTCAGGATATATTGTTAAATGAAAAAGCAAAGTACATAAGAGAATATGAGGTATGTTATTCTTATGAAATAGATTGGGAGAATAAGAAAGTATACATGTATCTCTCCATTTGTGCAAAAAGAAACAAAGCAAAAATAATCTAGGAATTGAAAAAATTGGTTACCCATAAAGGGTGGGTGGCAATAGGATGAAAGAGGTGGTTGGAGAAGAAAAAGAAAGTATAGGGAAGTGACACATCTAAGTTTGCTTTTTTAAATTTATGACTGTTTGAAGTATATTGCACACACTCAAAAAAGTAAAGATACAGAAAAAAACCTTAAAATGGAATACAAACCAAAGCAAACAAACCAACTGTATTTCAAATTAATAACATAATCGAAGTAAATTTTGAACACTAACTTTTGAGTATGCAAATATCCTTAGGCTAAAGACAAAAAACTATAAACAAAACATTAAATTCTAGTGAGTAGATGTATTTCTCATACTAGCATGGGCTAGCAATTCAGAAACTATTCTCTGTGCATTCTGGGGCTGAGGAAATGGGTACATATACTGTAGGTAATGGGAGCCAGGCTTCTCACTATAAAAGAAAGGAATCCTTTGCTAGGGGATTAGAATTGGAGGTATCAGTATGGAGATATGGAGATAGACAGATAGATAGATAATGATAGATAGATAGATAGATAAATAGATAGATAGACCATTGATAGACAGATCATTGATAGATAGATGATAGATGATTGACAGAATACAAAGGGCCTAAAGCAGTGATAACCCAGTAGCAATGATCATATCTAGCACCCAGATTTTAGTTTCTAAATTCTATTTTCCACGGAAAGAACCCAGGCTCCTTGGAGAAATGATTGATTACAGGACTAGATCT